AGAAGGCTTCATAGAATTCTTTTGTGAAGCCATTGTTGCCGGGAGTTTTGTTGTTTTAGAAATTGTTCAGAGCATTGTGAACCTCTTCAATATTTATTTCAGCTTCTAATTCAAGACTCTCATGTTCTACAAATTGGTTGAGGTTCAAATTCCTACAAAGCTTTGAAATTTTCTTGATACATCCTTTGTTCTCCAGGGTCAAAATTCGTTTTGTAGAATTGACTTAATTGATTTTCTATCTCTTTGTTTATTTTTTTGGGATCTGATAAGAGTTCTTCCTCGCCATTATACAGTTGTGAGATAATCTTTTTTTCATAGTTTCTTTTCTCAAGGTTCAGAAAATATTTTGTAGGCTTTTCTCCTTTTTCAATACATCTAGCCTTGGACTTGAATATTGCGCCCTTGCCATTAGCTCCATACATCCCTTGTAATTCTTTCTTTAGTTTTTCATATTCTGTTAAGTACTGTTGGTCTTAGCAAACGTCATTACAGATTATGGAATCTAATTTTTCTCTTCCGCTTTGAATAGCACTTTCGCGCGTTTTGGATTGTCTGCTTTTTCTTTTAGAATATAGTATTGTTTTGGATCTTATTTCCATTTTTATCAATTCCCAGAGCAATTGTTTATCATTTACATCAGCGTGTTTTTGCAGGATACATGAATAGTAATCTTTGATTGATTGTAAATAGCATCCAACCTGGAGAAGAGTGTTACTGAATTTTCATAATCCAGGACCGCGTTTAAATTCCTTATTCAGATTAATGCTCATAAAGACTGCTTTTTGATCAGGCGCGATTGATGCTCGGGTTTCCACTTTTTTTCCACTTATCAAGAAAAAGTCTATGTGTGATTTTAGTTTCAATGTTTTTTATTCATATGTGTAGGTTTTATTTTTTGCATGAATTTTACGGTATATATCAACTAGATTTGCCGCTTTCATGAAATAAACTAACGAATTTCTGCACTTAGTTTCTTTCCAGGCTAATCATCTCCTTGCTTATCTTTTACTATTACAAAGTCTTCATGGTATTGTTAGAAACCAAGAAAGAGTTTCTCATGCTTACGAAATGTCCGTGAGTAAGAAACGAGTACATACCAACCAACAACGCTTCATTTTGTTGTTAGAAACGGACAACGCTTCCCTTTGTTGCTAGAAACGAGCAACGCTTTTAGAATCGTTACTCAAACGTACACTGAAATTCTGATGTTTTTAGTATTTGTTTCTTCAGGCGACTTGACTGTTTTATTCGGGCGACATAACTAAAATTTCAGGCAACCTGTCTCAAGTTTCGGGCGACTTGACCGGTTAATCACCTTCTCAGATATTCCCTTTATGTACGGTACAGTCGTTGTAGTAGTAGGAGTTGCGTTGTCGTTAGCTTTGCCGGGTAGTAGTAGTAAGTGGGTGAGTGTTTCGTCGGATGAAGTCTTCGTGGTAGTTGTTCTTTGAAAAAACACGGTCAAGGTACTTGTTCTCGTCGGATAAGCTGTCTGTCGTGTTGCCTACTAGCTCGTCACGTAAAAGCCCTCATAGATGTGGCTTTGTGTGATGTCAGGTTGTAAGATAACTCGTCCAGTAATCTGTCGGTATGTGTCGGTTTCCTGTAAAACTTTTGTCCTGTAAAACTATTGTCGGCTGATTGATTAACTATTGTCGGCTGATTGATTGACTATTGTGGGCTGGTAGATTAACTATTGTCAGCTGGTAGAATAACTGTTGTTAGCTGGTAGATTAACTATTGTCAGCTGCTAGATTAAGTACTGGTTAAGAATATCTGAAAGTCATATATTTGAACTGCGGATAAAGACGTGAATGAAAGTAATCCTCGCAGTAATGTGCACTACTTAGGCAGTAGGGAAAATAAGGCCTGTACGGGATTTGAACCCATGACCTCTGCGATACCAGTGCAGCGCTCTACCAACTGGGCTAACAAGCCAACTGAGAGCTGGTCATGATGTTGGTTCTAAATAAACCCGTGAAGTGATAAATAAACGGTTAAGAATATATGAAAGTCATAAATTTGAACTGCGGATAAAGACGTGAATGAAAGTGATAAAACTACTGTCGGCTAATGGAATAATTATCGTTGGCTAGGAGATTAACCCATTACCACACTCCGTCAGTTACTGACTGACGTTAAAGACAAAGACGAACCGAGGAACCGACAGGGAGTAGTTTATACGATCAATTGCTCCGACTGCCACGCCTCCTACCTCGGCGAGACTGGCAGAAAACTCACAATCACACTAACTGAACAGAGCGACGAGGAAAGGCGATATCAACAGTCACATTGCTAAACATCACCGACTTAAGAACCACACTATTGACTGGGACTCTGCGCATTGCCTAACCTACAGCACCTACTTTTAACGACTGACTCTGGAAAGCTGGTTTACTAACTTAGACCACACTCTCCTTAACAGGTGTAAACCACCACCGGCACCATACAAAAGACTCATTCACGACATTCACATTAAAAACGAACCGAACAGAACGACTCAACTTTACCAACGGATCGAGACCGACTAATCACGATCAACCTAAGCCGCTTGAGTCTTACAGCCAATAACATCACGGTAAAACTGACCAATCAGTTTATACAATTCGGACTTCGAACATTCGACTGACAACAACTATTCACTTGACATCAATCACCACTATCGACAACATTCCTTCTCAGGACTACACTCAAACTACACTATTACATGTTACCCCAGGGTTCAAACCGTTTACTGTATTTCGAGTATTATTTCTAGTTTTCCTAGGGGTTAGCGTAGGTTGTATCTTCAGATATTAAAGTCCTTTACGAAATCGAACAGACATAGGGTTTTATAGCCACACTGCTATCTACGAATATCATATGTCTTCTTAGTTTAGTGGCCTCGAGGGCCGTTTCATATGCAATCGATTCTTAAAGTAGTTAAGTTTACAATTAGTCTCAATTATTTTAAACCCTTTACGAGAAATTGCCGAGTACCTTTATTAAGTACTATCTCCAGATAAAAGCCTAAACATACCATCTATATTTTCTTTTTTTTAAATTAATAACCCAGTTGAGCGAAGATGACTGCGAACAACTGAAGCCCTAATTCTGAAAAGACACCTCATTATCACGTTTTGAAAATTAATTAGAGGATCGTCGTGATTCCCGAACACTTTTATTGCACACTTTTTCCGCACATCTACCACCAATAATAATCATTTATTTCTCTTTTCAATCATTCAAGTCCACATTACAGAAAGAACTTCTGCTACCGGCTTATATCAAGTGCTAAGGCTGATATGAAGTATAAGTCCCCTTTCCCCGGTTTTTTTCTCCAGCTCTTCGATCTCTCCCTCTACAGCAGTGAGCCGCTCTTTCAGTTTAGAGATCATCGAGCAAGCTGAAAATAAATTACGACAGTGGTCCATGAATCACTTTAGTGAAACTATGCTTTAAATATAAAAGCAACTAATTGGAAAACTTTTTTTCAACTTTCAATAAGCTGCCAAGGGTAAAATTATAGAGCTAACTCGTTGTCAACTAATCAGGAAGATTGCTCCTTTCTGTACTTCTCCTGCATACTAACTGTCCAAGTACCTGACGACAACATGACTACAACCACTCACCATCAAATCCAGACGTAAACTACAATCCACTGAGGACTTCATTTACGCCACTAAGACTATACAGATACCTGACGACTACAGACCAATGTCATTTAATGTGAAATCGCTTCCACTTCAATTGGCACTACAATGTACTAAGACTGCAATGCGACAATCTACTGACCCTCTACCGCTACTGATAGAGGACATTATGGACTTACTAAACCTTTGACAAACGTCAACTTACTTTCAGTACACTACAAACAGTTACACCGTACAGCAAGTTTCTTTCTTTTTCTGTTGTTGTAGCGGAAATTATGAGGCAGAACATCTAGAAAGCGCCCTTTCGACTTGCAGACCAACAATACCGTTTTTGGTTACGCTTCGTTGACGGTGCATTAACCGCCGTGCGACACGACGAAATCGACGCATTTCACCACCACCTTAACAAACAAAACACTGCTATACAGTTTACCAGGGAGGTCGAAGAAAGAGTAAAACTACCTTTTCAAGACTGCCTGGTAAGTCGTGACGACAACTCGTATGCAACACGACAGGCAGCTCATTCGACGAGAACAAGTACTTTGACCGTGTTTTTTCAAAGAACAACTACAACGAAGACTTCAGCCGATGAAACACTTACCGACCTACTACTACTACCGAAACTAACGACAACGCAACTCCTACTACCACAGCGACTATACCAATGCTGTTTATTTTCGTAAAATATCACGACAACCTTCCTTTTGATTTTGCTTAAGTGGCTTTAAATGATTGAATCAAGAAGAGCTACTTAATAAAATTAATAAACTTAATTATGGTAATTTGGTCTGTAATCATACACGTGATTTCAAAATAAAAGAAATATTCTCCTGATATGCTCTTTTCAGATTTCATCAAGTGAATGGGGTAGCTAATTAGTGAGCGTCTAAAAGGACCTCTTGTTGCAGTGTTTAAATCATCCCTGATGAAGGCACTAGAAAGGTGTGTCGAAACATTGGGTCTATGAATTGTAACTTCTCGGTTACATTCAATCAAGTAGCATCAAACCATGTCTGAATGTCAAAGCAGTTTCGCGAAGATGTTTCCCGAGTATAGTATCTTAAAAATATCCCCATTTACACCAAATTTTAAAGATGTGTTTCAGATGTGTTAAAGCTGTTTTACTAAACGCATTATTTTTCTTATTTTTACAAAGTGCAAATTAAACTTCGGTAATTGGACTTGACCACGCTGTTGTTAGTGACAATGATTAACAATTATTCGCCGAAAGTGAAATGAATCTTGTTGAATAATCCTCGAGATAAATTCTCTTGTAAATTCGTTTGTTGTTAAAACCATCCTTTAAATACAGAGAGCTTTCCCGAACACTTTTATTGCACACTTTTTCCGCACAACTACCACCAATAATGAATCCTTTATTTCTCTTTTCAATCATTCAAGTCCACATTACAGAATGAACTTCTGCTACCAGCTGATATCAAGTGCTAAGGCTGATATAAGTATACGTCCCCTTTCCCCTGTAAAGTTCTTGTGTTGGAGTGTAAGGCTCAGCCGTAAGCGTGTGACATGCTTCAGTTTTAATTGCCCATCATCCGTTAGTCACTGCCACAATAACGGAGTTGGCAACCGGGCGATTTCACCAGTTTGTAGACATAGAACGAGTCACAGTTTCGTACTTCAATGCCGGCTTGCCAGTTACAATTGTTGCCATCCCAGTTGAAACAGACTTGTCTGGATACCTAAACCAAAAAACATTGGAATTGAAAAGATAAATAAATGTCTAGTCACCACAAATATATTCTTATGATAGAATTAAGATATATGTTACGCTGTGTCATGATTGAAAACAAAAATTTTCATAAAAGCCGATTGAAAACACTCAGGTTTTTTTTCCCATATAACGTCATAAAGCCTGTGTTCTCACTGGTACAGAAATGTACGACGTGATATTCCCCCAGTGATATTCCCCCAGTGATATTCTCCCAGTGATATTCCCCCAGTGATATTCCCCCAGTGATATTCTCCCAGTGATATTCCTCCAGTGATATTCCCCCAGTGATATTCTCCAATTTTCAAACATTGCTTTCAATGCGATGAAAGTCTTCCTTTAAAAGTTGATTTTAGTTGGAGAGCGTTCTGCTGTTGTTTCATTACAAGGGATAAATTTGCTTATTAACCAATTGGTGGAAAATCAACATCTGTTTTCGAAGTGATCGTTTTGTTACGCGCACAGTAATAAAGAAAAAGAGAAAGAGAGAATAAATGCATTCATTTGGCTTACAAATGTGCTCGTTTACATATCCTTCGGCATCATCTGTTATCCGAAGTCCACAGCTTTCCTAAAGCTTCGCTCTTCGAAAATCATTCGCTTCTCGGAACAAATAATGTTCGTTGGCAAATACCCAAGAATAATTTCCCGCCAAACGGAGTCTTGAATTCATTCATATGAATTACCCAGAAAAAAAATTTTACTGTTGTAAGAAATGTGATCTGTGCACCTTTCCCTCGGCAACAGATGGATGTCGTCCATTCAGCCACCCCGGTGCATGCGTGCCACACGTGTTTTTATTTGGTGGTGACTCTGGCATCTTTGAGCCTGCGGCTCCGGTGAAGCGGTACCACGCTTCTTCAATGTCGTTGTCACATGCTGCATTGCCCATACCGTAGGTATTCTTCCTGTCAGCGCTGTCCAGAACTTTGTAGCCTTCACACTCTAATTTGCAATATGGCAAAAACAGAGCTGAAAAATGTCTGCGCGTGTCCCAAACTCACTTGTCAATACATAGCAACAGTGAACATTTGTTAAAATGGCGGGAATTCTTTTAAAAAAGCGGTGATATCCAATTTTTATGCGTGCTAAAGACCACTCAGCACGTATGTCAACATCATGGAGCCTCAACGTCATTTTGTGAATGAAAACATTTTTTGTGCCCCTGTCAAAGGACTGTTGATAGGATAATTAAAAGCTTTATCTTGCTACCTGAATTATTTATACCTGGGCAAAAAACGGCGTCGTTTATCAATCTTTTCCAAAACTTTGCTACATTGTCATGATGTCACTATAGTTTTATGTTTGAGTCTGCAAAAATCGTGACGAGCGGAGACGTTTTTCAGTTTTTCAAGCAAGTCGATTGGACATTTAGACACATATCAAGCATGTCTAGGTGGAGAAAAACAACCTGGAATTCGTGGTAACCGTCGAGTATTGACTAGAATTTTGTTGGTTAGGGATGGAGATGCCTCTATGCGATGACCTGCGATGGCTCAAATTGCTGAAAATGGGGAGGGAGAAGACCAATGGAACCTGCTTTGGGCCAATTGTTCTTCTGGGTAATTTAAGATAGCCAAAAACT